AAGAGTCAGGAAACATCTTCCCCTAAACCTCTGTGAGAGTTGCCTGCGGGGTGAGGTGGGGAATGGAGCTGCTGTCATTAGTATCACAAGTATCTAGTTGTACTTTAAAAACAATCTTCTAAGATCAATACCATTGTTTCCACACACTCTACCTCCCTCCATACTTATCAAGGAATCTAAAGTTTAGGGTGATTAAGTAGGCTTGTCCAGGGCCCCATAGTCGAGGAAGTAGAGGAGTTGACCTGGAACCCAGTTTCCAATCATTGCACCATTCTGGTAGGGTCAGGGTCAAGTGGTAAAAGATCTTAACTGTCAGGCCAAGGAGGGGAGATTTCCTCTCTGGTAGTAGGGAACCATCAAGGGTCCTCATCAGAGCTGGACATAAGGGAAATATTTGGAGAGGGGGTATGTGAAAGATAGGAGTGGAAAGGCAAGAAAGAGGAGGCTCCAGACCAATAGAGAGCGAGGCCAGACCAGGGGTAGGGATACAGAGAAATGGATTTGCAAGACATTTTAGAGGCAAAATAGATTTTGTTGCCAATGGGACAGAATGAAGCGGTCTGAGGACTTTGGTCTGAGTGCCTAAAAGTGGTGAAGTCATTACTAGAAAATGATTTGGGAGAGGAAGAGGAAAGAGTATGAATTCATATTTGAACAGTTATCTCTCCCCCACCCCGACTCCCCATGTATGGTTGACAGTCAGCACCCAGGATCAGCCCTGTGTGCCCAGCCATGTCCCAGCATTTTGTAATTATTATTCAACTCATTGAAACCTCATAAGGATGCTTTGAAGCATGGACGCTATGGTCCCCACCTCGCAAATGAAGAAACCGAGGCTGGCCCAAGTTGTGCTGCGTGTCCAGCAGGCGCCCTGTCTGAGCGGCTGACTCACGCCCCATGCCAGGCCTGGTCTGCCCAGGACTGGTGGGAGGTGCCGCCTTGCCCCTTGCAGCCGTCCCTGACACCCAGCGGCCCTGACACGGGAGATAGGCGCTATCGCTCGGTGACAGAGTCCATCAGCCTCCTGGCTCTGGGCTGGCAGGCGCCTCTGCCTTTGTTGTTCTGGGAGAGCTGACTTCGCCTCCCTCCTCGCAGGGACATTGGGTCCTGGCACGCTGACACTCAGCCAGTTACAGGCTGCTGTCCTGAGCCTGCCTGCCTACCTGCCTGCCTTCTACCCTCCCTTCCTCCCTTCCAAAAGATTTTTTTTTTAATTTATTTATATGTGCAAGAACTGAGGTGTAGGCCAGAGGTGCAGGGAATGAGAGGATTCACCAGAGACAGAGTGGGGAGCAAAACAGGCAGATCCACTGAAATCCACTGCTGAGGGGAGCAGCAGGGAGACAGGAGAGGTCTGCTGGGCCCTGTGGGTAGCTCCCTGGCCGGGGATGGAACTCGTGCTTCAGTGGATGGCGATAGCTTGATAACACTGAGACGGTAACCCCTATGCTACCAGGGAGACCCAGTAACTCTTATTTCTGATATGAATACGCGAACTCTTCCATCTGCAGAAGAGTTTCATGAAACAACCATCGACAGGTGGGAGAGTGACTTAGACTTGAATTCCTGGAGCTTAAGAGGAAGAAACACCTGCAAAGGAAATGAATTCATAAAAATGCCCTTTAGCTGGGACTGGATGAAAACCTTTAAAAAAACACCCAAACTGAAAAGACAGACATATAAGATGAAAGATAAAAACAGTATTAAATGGTCAGAACGTCCCACGATATTGATTCCCCCATTGACTGTTTTACGCCTTTAAAAAAAAACCAATTTAGCCCATTTCTCTGCCCCCCAAATTTTTTGGGTTTGGGGGTTTTCTTTGTTTTGTTCCTGGCGCCACTGCTTGGCTGGGCTCTCCCAGGTACTCAGGAATATTGTGATCTGGCCCCACCCCCAACCTTCTGCTTGAATTTGTTTTCTGATTGTTCTAGAAGCTGCTATTCTGATGGTTCTACCCAGTATTTTTATTCTGGCTTCAGCAGAAAGTGTCTGCTCTTGGGCTCCATGGAACTAGTGACTGGATGCTGAGTGCAACCCCACAGGCAGCATAAAGCAGGGGTCTCTATTCTGTGGACCTCAAGTCTCAGCCCACCCTCTGCCCGCGCAGCTCCCCGCATCCTGCCATGTGCTCTTGAAGTTGAAGCGTCTGGATCACTGGTTCTTTCAGCAGAGCCCAAGGCCTAAGCCACAGCTTTCGAAAGACAGGTTCTGCAGCCAGGGCCTCCTAGCCCCACCAGGGCACCAGACGCCCTGACACACAGGATCTAGCCTAATGGGGTGTATGCGCACCCTTTTTCAGCCTGGGAAACTGAGACCCTGAGAGGTTGAGGGCCCACACTTCTCCCTATTGAGCCAGACTCCTCCTCCAACACCCTTTCCAAAGGTGCTGGTGAATAAAAAGAAGGCCCAGCACCATGGGTGCCCCTCAGGGACACACAAAGAACAGCCACCTGTGGAGGGCCCGAGCCCATCCCACCATCTGAACCAGGGATTCCCCACCCCCAGAGTGTTCTTCACTTCCTTGAGGCTGCAACAACCTTTTCACTTGGGCCATTTATAGCTACCGACTGCTCACACAGCTTTTTAACGAAAATCCATGGTGTGCCTATTAGTTAGGAAAACATTTATTCCAGTGGTGTCAGGGAATCTTGGCCAGAAAAGCTCCTCCTGAACTGTCTGTGTGGAAGTGCCAGTGTGTGTGAGTGTGCATGGTCCATGTGTCCATGAGTGCGTGAGTGTGTGTGTGTGCGTGCGCATTCTGTGCCTCTGTATGTGCTCATGTGCATGGGTGTACTTTTATGTGTGTGTGCACACTTATGCATGTGGCTATAACTGTGTGTGCTACTCGCATGTTTGTGCACACATAGGAAAGCATATCTTTGGTTTTAAAGATCCCACTGGCAGGTCTCCTGGATCATTCTAACCCCGTGTGACTGGGGTAGAGAGAAAACGCCACACCTTCACTCACAGCTATTTGTGCTTCTTGAGTGTGTGCCCCCCATGCTGAAAACATTCCAGCCAAGAAGGGAAGTGAGTGATGGCCTGCTCACTGCGCCCCACCGGTGGGTAGTTGGAATAGGGAATGCTGAACTGAGGAGGAAAAAATCCACCAACGAGTGGACCTGCAGTTCAAATATTGTTGTTCAAGGACAGCTGTAATTAAGTGACTTACACAGAAAGTGGTGGGTGCAGCGGAGAAAAACAGAGGTGAGAAGGGGTCTGGAAGATGGGGGGCGCTATTTTAAATAGGTGGTAGAGGCCTCCCTGAGAGGGTGGCACTGGAACAAAGATCTGAAGGAGTGAAGGAGAGGGTGGAGCTGATGTGGGTGGAAAGGCATTCCAGGCAGAGGGAAGCAGGTGCAAAGGCCCTGAGGCGGGTCCCGCACCTGCGATGTCAGAATGTTAACAGTCTCCCCTCGCTGCCGTTTTCTTTCTCAAAATTGACAGGCACAAGTGCCTCCCTCCCGAGCCTGCAGAGAGTCTGCAGCATCTCTCTCTCCCCGTGACCCAGCCCCCCTCTTTAACCTTGAAGGCATTTGTGGGTCTCACGTGTCACTGGGTGGCGGGTGAGCTGCCCTGACTTCAGAAGAACGGCATGGGGGGGGGGGCTTAGGTGGTGTCTGCTCACCTATTTCTGCCAAAAGTGGTCATGAGGTTATTTTTAAACATGGGGAGGAAGTATTTATTGTTCCAGGCAGAGGAGAGAGGGCAGCCTGTGGGATTCGTCCGGGAGTGCAGGCCCGTGTCCTTTCTACCATGGTGAGTAGTGAGGGCTCCCTGGGGTGGGCGAGCAGGGGCTCCGCCTTCAAGCACAGGACCCAAAGGGAGAGAGCGTGTGGTGGCTTTTGAGGGCCCCAGACCCTGGTGGAAAGTGCACTGCTCGCTGTGCGTGCAGAGAGGAACCCCAATCAATGCCCCGATAAACCACAAATAACAGCATCTCCCGGGGACTCACAAAAACAAAATAAGAGAGTTGGCTTTTTTATGGCTTGTCGACTGACCTCTAGAGGAATCGATAACTCCCAGGGCTTGCAAAATGGGATTGAACGCTTTTAAGGATCAAATTGTAATTCTTGTCTCCTGCTCAGGCAGTTGGGGAAGGGAATCTATTGGTTTTCACCTTTTGAACTTGCAAATTTAGAACCTTTCTCCCTGTGTGGTTTGGCTAGGTGTCCCCCTCCCGAAGCAGGCGCCCCCCAAGTCAGGGACAGCGAAGGAGAGTTTAGGGGCACACACCCTGCAGTCAGTCTCCTGAGTCCAACACTGGCTCTGCCTTTCTGTGACTGTGTGACCTCTGGCAAGTGACCCGACCTCTCTGAGCGTCCCCAGCCTCCCTGGGAGAGAACGCGACGGGACGAAGAGGACTGAGCGTGGTTGCGTCATCTGTAGAGTCCAAGCACTTGCTGAAATTGTTTAAAGTCAGGAAGAAGAGGGGTGAGGGGGAGACAGTAACTCACCCCAGCCGGCGATGTTTGCGAGGACAGAGATGTCGTCACCATTTTGGATAAAGGGGAAAACATTGGAGGGGAGCAGTGGGGTTTTAACTCCTTGAAAAAGTGTTGCTTCATCTCAGCATTCCTCAGGGCCCAGGAAACCTGGCTCCCAACTCCCAACACACACCATCAATTTTCCTCCTGTGCATTACTGGGCTTCCTGTGAAATGCTTCGGAACCAAAGTGGCAGCATGCGGCTGGGCGTCCCTGAGACACCTCCACCTCCCTGAGTTTCCGAGGTGCCGCTGCCAGACCCACACAATCTTGTATCCTCCAGAGCCGGGGTGCTTTGAGACACGTGATCGGGAGCCCCTACCTCCTCCGGCGCCGCCCCATGAGACAGTGTGGACACCACAGCCCGTTTCACAGCGGCGGAGGCTCCCCAGAGACAGGCCTGACCTCCTTTTCTAATTCCCGCGGCTGACTTTTAATTGATGCGTTTCTTTCCCCCCACCCCACCCCCAGGCACCGAAGAAAGCCAAGAAGAGAGTGGAGGGGGCCAATTCCAACGTGTTCTCCATGTTTGAACAGACCCAGATCCAGGAATTCAAGGAGGTGGGTGTAGCGGGGAGTCGGTGGCTGGGTGGGGAGGCCACCCCTCTCCCATTTTAGAGCGCTTGCCTCCCATCCGCGTTCCCTGTAGGCACCTCTTAGTTTAAGAACTTTACCCTCCAAACAACCACAGATCCAGTCTGAATATGCGTGTGAACCAGTTTTTGTAACTCTTGCTGGTCATCAGGGGATAGCCTGCTCCTTGTGGAACATGCGGGAGAATTTTTTCAGGAACCCACAAGAGAGAAAAATAAAAATGACTTAGGATTCTAGCACCCAGAGATCATCGGCTGGCCTTTGTTTTTTGGTAGGCACCCTCAGGCCATTTCTCTCTCTCTCTCTCTCTCTCTCTCTCTCTCTCTCTCTCTCTCTCTCTCTCTCTGTGTGTGTGTGTGTCTTCCACAAAGGTCATGGTCCTCGCTGCCCCTAGGTAGCAGCTGGGGCTTTTCTCTCAGTGACTCAGCCTTGCTGTTTTCCGTCATTTATTTACTCAAACCGTCCAATGGGTGTTTTACTATTAAAAAGAACACGCCTTTGCTTGCATCTCTGGTTGTTTCCTTGGAGTAGATTCCTAGACGCAGATTAACTGGGTCAAAGGAACTTCAGAATAAAAAAGGAACAAGAACCACTGGTCCAAATTGCCCTGCAGATACCTGGACTAACTCCTCCCCGTCATGTCCCCCCACGTTCCCGTCAGCACTGGGCACTAAAAATCCAGGAGATTTGTGCCAGGCTGAGAGGAAAAGCACCATCTCTTGGACTTTAAATCTTACCATCTTCGATCCCTGAACCCTAGTCGGGTCTGAAACCCCATCACACCCCAAGGGGATGAAGCAACCCCAAAGACCGGTGAGATGAAGCCACAGCCTCGGGTTAGGCAGCCAGGCGCTGTGGATCTCATTCTCCGGCGGTGTGGGTGGCTCCATAGACTCGTCCACACTCCGTCCACCTGGCCCTGACCTGAAGCCCTGCCAGAGGCCAGCGGGTCTGCGCAAAGGGCAAGTCCTCTGGGGCTTCCGAGTAGGAACTAACTCTCAGCGATCATTCAGCTCTCAAGATCTCAGGAGTCCTGTGTCCCAAAGACCCCCAGAGACAGAGCAATTCCTGGGACAAAATGTCACATCTGGACTTGAAATGGTCTCCTTCCAGGGAGACGTCTTCACCCGCGTCGGCCCTCACCTGGCCCCCAGCCCGGCAGCTGCGGCTGTAGGGACCAGCTGCCACCCAAGAGGTGGAGGCACTGCCTGGGCGTTTACAAAGCTCTGGGCGGCTCCCCAGGACTTCAGTGGGAAGGATTACTGTCCCGGTTTCACAGACAACCTGCGCCTGGGAGTTGGGGGTGCAGATGAGACTCCAGTTTTTAAAAGAACTAGTTCTATAGCGATACCGTGCACACAGCGGAAATGCACCTTTTTAAGGGTACAATTCAGTGGTACTTCATACAGTCACCAAGTGTGGCAACCACACCACCTATTCCAGAACATTTTCATCGCTGCCAGCTGAAACCGCGTCCCCACTGGCAGTCACTGCCCGCCCCCAGGAGCCTTCCCCGTTGGTCTTTCTGGATTCGCCCACCCATTGAGGGTGTGGCTCCTTTCCCGCTGGTCTCTTCCTCCTTTTGCAGCTGAATCCTCTGCCTTTGGTTTATGGATTCAGTGACTGAGGGACTTGCGGGTCATGTCCCACTTGGGGTTCTGAACCATAATGCTGTCGTGGGCTTTCAGGCACAGATTTGGGGGGTCTCCTTTCAGGTCTTGTGGGGCAATGCCTAGGGTGGAGCAGCTGGATCCTACCTCTCCAAGCCTGAGATTTTGAGCGACTGCCAGACAGTTTTCCACCGTTGACTTGACCCAATATCCTCCCACGCTCCTTGAAAACCCAGAGTCCCTCCCCGCAGTGGTGAGCCAGCCTCTTGGGCCCCTCTCCCCACGATCCCCTGGGCTGACCAGCCACCTCCCCTTCCCAGGCCTTCACCATCATGGACCAGAACAGGGACGGCTTCATCGACAAGAACGATCTGAGGGACACCTTTGCTGCTCTTGGTGCGTGTCCCCTCTAGACAGGCAGGCAGCCTTCTGCCTCCCAGGGGTGGGGGTGGAGGGGAACTTGAAAGATTAAGAGCTTGTTATTTTCCAAAGAAACAGCTCAACCATTGGCCTTTAATACAAATTTCAGAGGCTAGGAAAGCAGTGTTTAGTGTCTTCACCTATCTTTCTTTTTCTTTTAAAATAGCTTTTTTGTGTGATTTTGAATGCAATGTCAGCACGTGCTGGAAAACTTGGAAAATTCAGGGCCTGCCTGGTGGCTCAGTGGGTTGAGCACAGTGCTGTGAAGCTGTCCGTAGCCTCTGCAGCGCAGGTTCGATTCCCGGACAGCCAGGTAGATAACCACATGACGCGGCAGACCTCTCCTGTCTCCCCGCTGCTCCCCTCAGCAGTGTATTTCGGTCCATCGGCCTCTTCTGCTCCCTGCTCTGTCTCTGGTGAATCCTCTCACCCTCCTGCGCCTCTGGCCTGTACCTTAGTTCTTGTATAAAAATAAAAATAAAAATCTAAAAAAAAAAAAGAACAACTTGGAAAATCCAGAAAAAGTATGAAGATGAAAACATTACCCATCAGGTCACATGCCACTGCTAATATTTCAGCCTCTAAGTCTTTTCTAGGCATATCTTTTTCATACATTGTTGTTTTTTTGGGTTTTATTTGTAACAATTAGTGTTGTTCTATTTAGGACTTAGCTTTCTACAGATATCTCAATGGCCTGAGCAGACTGTATGAAGCTTTTTTCAAAATATACATGTCCCATCTGCCTCCACTCACCTCCACCCACACCTTCCATGAGAATTCAGGGCCATGAACAGTTGTAAAGGTTGTACACTGTCCAATTCTACGAGGATCTTTCCTATTTGTAGCTGCTATAGACTTTTGTGCTTAAAGCATAAATTCTCTGAAGAAGGGGTGACTTTTTTGAATTTGTGTAAAGGTACTCTTGCAGCAGGGCTAGAACAGGTAGATCGGAATCTCTGAGGGTATGTGGGTTATAGCAGGTGATTTAAAAAAGCTCCTGCAAGTGATTCTGCTCTGTGTCACCCACCTCCAACTGAGAAGGGCTAATTTATAATAAGAGCATATTCATTTGAGTAAAATATTCAAATATTTATATAAAATGGTACAGGTTCTGAAGACACTATTTTATCTTATTTTATTTTTTTAAAGATTTACTTATTTATGCACACAAGAGCTGGGGCACAGGCCAGAGATGCAGGGGATGAGAGGATCCACCAGAGACAGAGTGGGGAACAGAACAGGCAGACTGACTGAAATACACTGCTGAGGGGAGCAGCGGGTGAGACAGGAGAGGTCTGCCTCGCCAAGTGGGTTTCTCCCTGGCCAGCCAGGGATCGAACTTGTGCTGCAGAGGCTATGGATTGCTTCATCGTGCGATGCTTAACCCCTTGCGCCACCAGGGAGGCCCTAAAGACACTATTTTAAAACTAGCCCCTCCTCACACTGGGCTGTTTCCAGTTGCCTGGCCATTATAAATAACACTGTCAAGAACATCTCATATGGATCTTTGGCCCCGTCCACTCCATCTCTGATTGTTCCCAGACTAGATTCCCTGAAGTGAAGACAAATGCCTTGTCCTAATAGCTGTTGCTGTCCCAGCTCAGAGGCCCTGAGTGTGTGCTTCCTGCCCTAGGGCGTATGAATGTGAAAAACGAGGAAATTGATGAGATGATCAAGGAGGCTCCGGGTCCCATTAACTTCACTGTGTTCCTGACGATGTTTGGGGAGAAACTTAAGGGTAAGCTTGAGTGTGCATGCGCATGTCTATCCTAAGACCTCTTCATCTTGTCATACACATTAAAGCACTGCGGGAATAGATGGGGTTGGGAGAAAATAGAGGTAGGCCAACACTGGAAAAATGAGGACCGCTTCTCCAAGGCTGACCCCCAACCAGACCCCAGGCTGGGCACTTTCTGTGTGTGACTTCACATCACGGCAGGTAGGGGCAGGTTCTGTTCTAATCTCGTCTACAGAAGAAGAACTAAGGCTCCAGGACAGAAAGCCACTTGTCTGTGGTCACATAGCTATCTGGAGTCAGGATTCAAACCCTGGTCTTTCCAGATCTTTCCAGACAGTCCTTCCTCCCTATGAAGCAACTGTTCACCGTGAGGGGACTTGGGTCCTGCTTCCTGTGGTACCACAGTTCCCAGTCGCCTGTGGTATGTTTTAACCCTGTCTTCTCTTTCAGGGGCTGACCCCGAAGAGACCATTCTCAACGCCTTCAAAGTGTTTGACCCCGAAGGCAAGGGGGTGCTGAAGGCTGATTAGTGAGTGAGGTGGACTTGCGGTTGGGGTGGACTCTGTGGGGTGGACTTGCGGTTCCCTGGCTTACCCTCCCTCATGCCTGGTGCCAATCCCTGCTTTTCTTTCTCTCTCTGTAGCATTCAGGAGATGCTGACCACGCAGGCAGAGAGATTTTCCAAGGATGAGGTAACAGGGCCCTTCAGACACCCCTCACCCAAGGACTCCATCTCCCTCTCTTCTCTAAAACACCCTCACCCCTCACTGACAGAGAGTCTGCTGTATTTACTGAGCCCTTGTCTCATTTTGTTCTCTTAATCACCCTATGAGGTAGGGGCTTGCAGTGTGGTCATTTTATGCACAGAGAAACTAAGGTCCAAGTAAAGTCACTTGCATAAAAAGAAAACTCATACAAATGCTGAGGTCTGGATTCAAGCCCAGGTTTTTCTGATTCCAGTCTGCCTTCCTCACGATGCAGAGATCTGGCTAGAGCACCCATTTCCCTCTAGAGCAAGAGTGGTGTGCAGGGTTGCCACGTACTGTTGACTAGGTTGTGTGCTGCACAACTCTCCTGGCTGCTCTTTTTGTGATAGACCTTGTTGCTTGTATATACACTTATTGCAATAGTTTCCTAGCAGATGGCAGTAAAGTGTCTTGTCATCATTTTCTGGCAGGTGGCCGGAATGGGCCTGGAAAAAGGGGCACTTTTGCTCATTCCACAAAGGTTCATATGAGCAACAGCCCTGCCAATATTATTAATAAACTTTAGTGAGTCTACTTTCAATAGCCGCTTGGAGCCACTCAGGTCTGGTTCCACCAAGTTCTACATTTTATTAAAATTTTTATTTAGATTTCTACTCCCAAATTTAAGCAGTTAAAATAGCCTGCCTTCACCTCCCACCAGTTTGGGGACTTTGGGCTCCTTGACCTCACTGTGCTTCAATTTCCTCATCTGTAAATTGGGACAATAGTAGAACCTACATCATAGGCATTAATATGTGTTAAGTGCTGACACGTGATAAGGGCAGTATAAGTGCCCTTATTACAGGCTAATATGTATTTTTTAAAATAACTAGCCAATACTTCAATTTTTGCAATTTTTGCCAATACTTTTTAAAAATCAAAAATTGCATCATTTAAAAAAAATCTAGATTTGTAGTTTCCTTCAAGAAGTCAGATTCTCTCAAAGAATCTGTCCTTGGTGTCCCCGAAGGCATATTAGGCTGCCCTGAGCAGCTGCCTCTTTGTACACTGACTATGAGTCTCCCATTAGCCACAGACGCCACCAGGCCCACCTTGCTCCCCTTGGCACACTTGTGCCTGCCGTCCCTGCAGCCAGAAACACAACTGTGGGCCAGTGTCTGCCAAGGAGAGCAGGCAGGGAGCTGTTGAGGCAAGATTCAGACCCAGAGACAGTCAGGCCCACCCTTCTACCCCAGCCCTGGGGAAACCCAAAACTGGAATAGCCTTCCTGGAGCCCCAGTGGGCCCCACCTAGTGGGTGGGTTGTGGCCTGCCCCAGGAAAGCAGTAACCTTGAGTCCCACAGCTGTCTGCAGCAGCTGGGGTAACACAGCTTGCCAGGCAGGGATCTGCACGTACCCCAAGCCCCTACTGCCTCTGTGCTGGGACCTGCCCTGCAGACAGCCCCCCTCCCATTGTCCTCAGCGCCTTGCTCGTTGGTTGCAGGTCGACCAGATGTTTGCCGCCTTCCCACCTGATGTAACCGGCAACCTGGACTACAAGAACCTGGTACACATCATCACCCACGGGGAAGAGAAGGACTGAGGGAGGGGCCCCAAGACCCTGGTCTTATCTCTGGGGAGAGGGAGGTCTCTGCCATCCCCACTCCTGGTCTATTAGCTGTGTGGCTGCCTCGGTGTGTCTACCACCAAGTTCTTTGTAGCCTGGGTGGCTTATAGGTATGTGACCACATGGCCTGGAAACCCATCCAGAGGCCGTGCTCAAATAAACAGGAGCTTGTGTGTTTGTTGGTGGTGTTTCTCTGATCAGTTACCTTGAGAAAGGAAGGCAATTTACTAATTTCTAGTGTATGAGCTTGTGATGGCCTGCTGTCATTATTATTGAATCTTAGTCACTTTTTATTTAACATAGACATTCACAGCCACTCAAGACTGTTTCTATACAGAGCCACATTATTCTGGAATGTTAGAGGACCACAGCCCTTCCTCCACAAGCATTTACAGAGCCTAGCTCCGGTGACATCGTTTCCTTGAGGAAAGTTTCTCCCATAGATGCACTTAGATGGACGCCAGGGCAAACTAAGAGGCAAGCGCCTTAGGAATGTAGCTCATTTGGCAAAAACAATGACACCTGTTCATTATAAGAAGCTAATTTCTCCTTTCAGATAAAATTGAAGCTCTTTGTACTTCTCCCCAGGCAAATTGCTGATGATTTCTAGCCCTCTCTGGGGTTCAGGAACTGGGCCTGGACATGAGTTCACTCTTGATATGAGGGAGCAAAGTCATTGTTGAAGCTTCAAGTCTGTTTTGGCTGCAAGAATCCCAAGTGAAAAGACAAATCGGTTCACATAACTTGGCAGTCCAAGGCCTTCAGGCATGACTACATCCAGGAACTCAAAGGAGCCAACAGGACTGACAAGGCTTCTCTGTCTTCCCTGCTCAGCTTTCTCTCATGTTGCTCTGCTCTCAGTGGGGGCAGACTAGGTACCAGAGCTCTCAGCGCCCGTCTAGCCCTCAGCAATCCCAGTGCAAAGAGGCACTTCCCCCTCTTTCAGCTCCACACCAACCCAAGAGCAGAGTCGATGGGGAACCTGACCCCACCCTGAGCAGGCGCATTGCTCTGACAGGCCAACCTGGGTCCTGTGATTAACTCTCATTCAGGGTTTGAAATCAATTTCCTTCTGAACCCCAGGACCTGAGGGAGCAGGGGGGGACCAGACTGGAAAATTCAGCAGGCTTTCCAGAAGACATAGGAGTGGATGTCAACACCCTAAATTTTCAAGAGCATCTCAGGAACCTGGGACAGCGTCCAAACGAATGATGTGATGAAACAAAGAGCCCAAATGGGGGTGGTAGCAAGGGTCACAGAGGGAATGAGGGGTCTGGTGACGAAGGAGGCAGGAACAGGGGTGAGTTCAAGGCTCAGGAAGAACATGGTCCCCTGGAGTCCAGGTCCACCCCTCCGGTGTGACTAAGGTGGTGGGGAGAGGGGCACAGAGCCGAGACGCCACCCCATGATGACCCTCCATGACCTCCACATCCCCCTACCTCAGAACCTGCCACCTGGGGCTCCTGCAGAGGGGCCAGCAGGAGGCAGAGGAGGCCCCAGGGAAGCCCCAGCTCAGGTCACTCAAGTGCAGTTTGTTGTTCAGGGAAGGACGGGCACATAGACACAGACACACACACAGGGAAACACACACACACACACACACAGGGAGACACTACAGACCTACACACAGCAATACAATGACACAAACAGATCACACAGACACACATGCACGTGCACGCACATGTCTCCGGGAGGCCTGCTCCTGCTGGCAAGAGTTCTGGGGTGTGCACATGACACTTGCTCAGCATGGGCCCCCTGCTTCCCCTGGGGAAGCAGGGGCTGTGCTGGTCGCCACCTCTTGGTCCCCACTAGTCTTGGTCCCCACTAGTCTTGGGGACCAGTGACCTCACACACTCTTGACCCCTGTGGCCACTTGGTAAACTCCTGCTCCTCCACCCACCCTGGGGGGCTCCCAGCACCCCGGTCTCTCAGGAAGGAGCGTGAAGACACCCAGGGTAGGGAACAAATCATTTATTCTCTCTGGTTATGGTGCAGAGGCAGCCTGTCTGGCTCCGGCCGCCACTCCTTCCCGGGCTCACGCCTCAGGGCATCATCGTGACCCTCTTCCTGGCCCTCAGGTCGTCGCCCTTCTCAGGACCACTGTCCACGCGCTGGTCCCGGGGGCGAGAGTCTCTGGCGCTGTAGTTGTTGAGCACCAGCTGCCGGAGGCTGCTGTGGTCCAGGGGCTGGTCCACTGCGCCAGAGACAGGTGCGTGAGGAGCCTGAGGAGCCTGAGGCCACGCCGAGGCTGGGGGCCCCTGCCAAGCGCCGGGCCTCTCTGGGAGGCCTCAGAAAGGGTGTCCACATCTGGCTGAGGGTCCCTTCACAGTGTTGGGGGATGAAATGTGAATGTTCTCGGGGTTCAGGGAGTTGGGGAGAGGCAGACACACTCTCAGGGATGTCCAGACAATAACTGGTTTTGTTTTTTTCCCAGATAAGGATGTGAAGTGAGTTTGGTTTAGTGTCAAGGACCAGCCACCACGTGCAGTAGTTCAGGATGCACACTGCACAAGGACACCTGGCAGACACAGGGGGGTGGCGGGGCTGAAATCCAGGCCCTACCGGATGTCAGGCCCTGCGTGGCTGACCTCAAGCCATGTATACACACAAGGGGCAGCGTTCCCTAATTAACCTGCCCAGGGGGTGCCTCTTCTATTTCTCACAGCCCAGCCACAGAGGCTAGTAGTCTACAAACCCAAAGTCCATCAATATTCCCTTGAGCAGGACAGAAGACAGCAGCTCTAAGTCCCTGATCTGTGAGGACAGTTACCAGCAGCCGTGTCCTGATGGCCTCTTCCTCCAGGAACTCAAAGGGTCAAGGGGCGCAGCGCCACGCTGACCCCAGGTCCAGTTTTCATTCCTGCTAAGCTTCAGCTGCCTCAGCTAAATCACGCAGCGTGTGTAACGGTATGGGCGTGTGTGCGCCGTAGCGGGCCTCTCCCTCTGCCCTTGCCACACCCGCACACTTGAAATGCCTCTGGGAGAAGTGGGCGGCCTGGCAAAATCTGTTTTTTTCCTCTGATTACTAGTCACACAAGGTCATTGTCAAATTAATTTAGAAATGCAAAGTTCTATGCAGACACCCCCCAGAGATGCCCACCGTAAGTGAGCCCGTGCCGGCCTTCCTCGCCCTGCCCTCCTCGTCCTCATCTCCCCCTCCCCTGCTCTGTCGTATATAGCCCAGCTGTATACCAGGGTTGTATGTCCTGAACATTGTAGGAATTTTAGCAGCATCCCTGGCTCCTAGATGCCAGCAGCACCAAAATCTCCCAACAGTGACAACCATTGTCTGAAGTCCCCTGAGGGATAAATCACCCCGGTTGAGAACCACTGTGTGTGTGTGTGTGTGTGTGTGTGTGTATACTTCGTGTGTGTTCATATTGACCCATCATATTCTTTTTAGTGGCTGCATAGTACTCCATTGCATGATGAGTAAATGAGAACAAGTTTAGTCCATATCCAATAGACGGGCAAGTCAGTTTCCAGTTTGGGGCTACGGGAACATCCTCCTACTTTCCTAGGCAGACCCTTGAGTATGTTTTTCTTGAACGAAAAATTCCCACAGGTGAGATGGCAGGCTTAAGGATGTAGCTATTTCTCAACGGCCCTCCCTAACTAGGTGGGGCTGAATGTACTCCCACCTTCCAAACCAAAGGCTGGTGCCAGTGCAGGGGAGAGTCACAAGGGGAAAGGGTGCACGACTGATGGGCTGGGGCTGGGTGGCCTGGGAAGCGCCTGGCTTGGGTGGGGGGAGCCAAATCCAAACTGCTTCTACCTTGGGACTGAGGTACAAGAGTAGGTGGGGCCCAGGGACTTAGGGTGGACGAGACTCCAAAGCTTAGGGTGAAAGATGGGACCAGGGACTCTTGTGCGACCATAACCTGACAATTTGTAACTTTTGGACATTTTAGGGCTCATTGTGAACGGCCACAAAATAGTTGTGATTTGTAAAAATATCCAGGATGGCTAAATTCATGATGTGTGACCCACGGAGAAGCGTCCCCAAGCAAACCAAGTCAAGTGGCCACAGCCAAGACAGTGTCCAGGGGATCTGAGGGGTCACGAAGGTCATCAGAAGGGGAAACCGAGGCTCAACACTGCCGGAACCCCACCCAGGCCTGCACTGAGCGTGGGGGAAAGAGGGCTCACCTTCGTCCAGTCTTTCACTGAGAGGGTCAGATCCCAGCACCGGGGGAGTGACCTTGGTGGGCTCTAAAGGCTTGAGGAGGCCAGAGCCACCCCAGAAAGGGTTGATGAAGGCTCGCTCTGTCTCCACGGCCCCCAACCCCTCTATCTCCATGAGCCGCCTGTAGGACTCCAACAGCAGCAAGTCGTTGGTCTTCTTTTCAATGATGGCTGGAAAAAAAACAAGCAGAACCAAGATGGCTGCCAGGAGCTCTGATTCCATCTGTTGGGGGGATGGTGCCCCCTGCGGGAAGGGAAGGGAAGAAACAGGAGTGGGGACACAGGCTCTTGAGCACCTGCAAGGACAAAGGCTTACCCCTAGGGTTACACCATGCCCAGAAAGGGAAAAATTTGGTTCTCAAGAGGCAAAAAATTGGGGCCTATAATGTTTAGAGTACAGATGTCCATATGGGATAGAAACAGCTATTCAATATGTCTACAGTATTAAAATTTTATGAGGGGAGCAATTAGGAACGCAATGTCTAAAAAGGTCCCTGAGGAGATAACACTGAAAAGAAGGTTGAGAAATACATGGTTACAGTTAAAAAACGGGAGCGATGGGTAGGCTGCCTTGAACTACCGATCTTCTGCGGTGCTTTCTGCCTCAGGCCTCTGGGGCTTTGCTCATGCTGTTCCTTCTGCCTAGAATGCCTTTCCCTACACCCCTCCCTGATTAAGCCTGACTGGTATTTTAAGATGGGGGTCAGGCCTCACCCCCTGCATGGGTGTCTCCCAGATGTGCCTAGTTGCGGGGTGTTGCCCTTCCCACTGTATTTCTACACCCCGACAGTCACAGTGGCATCC